CTGGAATAACTTTTCTTAACTGGACATTTTGTACAATTCAGACTTTTGTAATTGTTATAGTCAAAGAGACGCAATGTGTACTTTTGTGTTTTTGAGGAAAATAAAGAAGTAATTTTGATCATCCGGGTAGTTTCGTTTTGTTTATGACTCAATCTTTCATTTGAAACCAAAAACAGCAACGCTTCATATTAGAGAATGGAAAATAGGCGTTCCCGATGAAGATGAACAAAACGATTATAGAATGTGAACGTTTTTGGAAAGTTACCATCAAGTCGTCTGTACCCTTTACTACTCATTTAACGATCCATTCATACAGTTGAGAGCAGCACATCGTTGAATGGCCAACTTTTGACGCATATAATACCATTAATTTGATCAAGTCATCTTGAAAACAACAAGTGTGCGTCATACCACCCCTAGCCAAATCTGGGGAAATTCGGGTTCAATATTCTGGGAAAATACACAAATCATTATCTTGAACAGCGATCAAGCCGAGTGCACCCGAATCATTAATTCGTGTTTCAGCTGTCAGTGAGAAGTGAAAATAATGTTTACAATTGAAAATAACATATTTGATTTTTAATCATCTCATTTGATAATTCTTTGTCTGTTGTATTAGAATTATGGGCCAATCATGGTGATATGTGTTTGGTTGTTTAATTCAATTAGCAATTCAATAATCTATTTTATTTTTTTGCCAGGAATGTAAATTGATGATGTTTTCACAGGGTCGAATGTGTATGTCCAGCTAAAATGTTGTAATTATAGTAGACTATTGGTTGTCAGCTTAATATTATCTAAATCGAAAATCTCTGTGGATTGACCTTTTTCGTGTTTGGACCGACCTTTTCTTCCACCAAATTACCTCTAAACTATCCTCTCTTATAATTTCAAAAGCAAGAAATGTTATTTTTAATTGAATTTAATCGAAAAAGTTTTCACCCAAGTACCTTTATTGAATTCAATTGATGGTTCAAGTTATCTAAGGTAATTGACGGGGTATGCTCTTCCATATTATATACCACCAAGAAAAATAGACACCCCATAGTAAACAAACTGAGCTTTGAAGATGATGCCAAGTGGATATTGCTCATTCAACCAATAATCCAAACGTTTGTTAAACAGTGCTATATCCTTATTTGACTTTTATCCATGATTATTTACATACCTCTGAAAAGCTTTGATTATTGTTGATGATCATGATGCGCTCAAAGCTTACCGTTTGGGATTGATACTGTTATTTTGGTAGATTTGATTCGTAATGAAACGTTCCATGTTGTCATTGACTTTAGCAGGATTAACATTCCGCTGAGAAAATATTGGGGTACACCTGATATTTTAGAACTTTTGGAAATTTTGCGTGTTTATATCTCAATCTTTTTTCTTTTTTTTCTTTCTTTATTCAAACATGACAAGTACGAGGGGTGATCCAAAAGTCTTGGACGCCCTGCTCTAATTTTGTTGGTTTTTGATCAAATTACTTAAAACTTTCCAATAATAAAGACCAACAACCTAACTACTTTGTGTATTAATTTCATGGAGAAATGATATGTTTTATGTAGTTTTCTTGACAGTTTTTAATATGGGGACCCTGCCACCCGGAACGGTATTCACACATGACAACTTTCAGCCTTAAATGTTGCCGACATTTGACTTGTTTCGCAAGTCTTAATCACTGTCTTTCTTTGAATTGTGAATGTAAAACCATGTTAGTTTACTTCCTTTTTACTAGGCAACCATTTAATTGTGTTTTAATTATAATGTCACATATGACATTGATCATATATGTCAAACTCTAAGAAAATGACATTAGACAAGCAACCCTCATTCTGGTAAGTTTTGCTCGAAAATGGCTGCTGAAATGCAGAACATGAAAGAAATCAAAGTGGAACAAAGAATACTACAAGATATTCTCACTATTATTGACCTTTAGCAGCTACCATATGCATAATACAGTCTAGATATGGCTCCGTATGATTTTCTTCCTTTTCTCGAAGTTGAAAGGAGGGTTGAAAGAAAATGTTTTTTTACTCATTGGATGAGGTTTAGAGTGGCACTCCAGCAGCATTTGTATCACATAAGGAATGGCGGTTTCATAATGTCTTCCATTCATTGGTAAAGCGGTATGAAAGATGGGTTCAAATTCATGGAAAATATGTTGAAAAGTAGGTCTTAATATGTGAAGATGCTGATGGCAGATGACACTCAGATTGAAAATCGGAAATTCTCTCATATAATGACTGGTGCTAGGTTGAACACCCGCACCTAAAGTATTTGCCATATTACAGGGTGACAAAAAAAAACTGGAACCCATAAATCATCAAATTTCTCGGAAAGTATTATACCTACATTCTTCATTTCTTCAGGGTAGAAACTAGACTGAATGCATGACAAAATGACACAATAATGAGTACTGTAGCTTAGATATTAATCATGCCATGGACGACAGAAGAAAAGACTTATATTGTGAGAAAGTATATTGAGACAAAATCCTATAAAGAGACACAAACTGCCTATATGAGAGATCACAGGGCAAGAAGAGCCCCTTGCAAGTCACAGATCTTTAGGCTTGTACATAAGTTTGATTCAGAAGGAACTGTAAAACCAACAAAGAAGAAAAGTGATGGTAAACCAACCTATTCGGGGAGAGAGAGGTCTGTCAGAAGTCAAGACAACTCAACAGTTAACTCAGAACGTTACATCCCTAACGTTCAAAAGTTTTGGAGAGCGCTGGGTAGATGACGTGACTTGAGAAGTGACCAGCAATGGTTCCAACAAGATGGTGCCACACCCCACACCTCAAATGAGTCCATTCGATGGCTTCAGGCTCACTTTGGTGATCAATTAATCAGTCACCATACCCGCCACATCTGCCCCCCCCACTCCCGTGATTTGAACCCCCCAGATTTTTATCTGTGGAGGTATCTCAAGGATAATGTGTATACAGATAGTCCACTGACCATTGATGACCTCAAACTCAACATTGGAAGACTAATAAGAGAGATAGACAGATTTGAATGCAGTCGGGTCATTGACAATTTTGCAAGAAAAATCCAGCTCTGCATCCAACGTTGTGGTGCACATTTGGAGCACATTATCTAATCGTGCCTCATTTGGAGACTAATTGAGCTATAATGCTAAAACTTTAACATCATGTCATACATTCAGTTGACTATACATGTACTAAATCACTAAGCCAAATATGCATTATTGACGAAGTTATTAAGACTTAAGTGGGTTCCAGTTTTTTTTGTCACCCTGTATAACAGTTGTGACGTGATTTGCTATATTTAAATACCGTTCCGGGTGGCAGGGACCCAGTGTTAAAAAATCTTTACCAAAACGCTAAAATATATTATTTTCTGTGAAACTTATACACAAAGTTGTTAAGATGTTGATCTTTATTATCTGAAAGTTTCGTGCAATTATATTAGAAAATAGCAAAGTTAAAGTGGGGCGTCCCCCTCGTACAATAATTAAAAAAAAACAGTTCAGGTATTTTTCCTCAATCTTGGTATCAATGATGCCATAACCTTCGACTTGTTTGGCTTTTTTCTGGACGGTGATCGGCGGTTGGTATTCGGCGTTCAGTGGTCGGCGCCTGCAACAAATGGCTGGTAGTGACATTTTTCATGTTTTTGCCTTATTTACCCTTTTTGTCAACTTCTTTTTACGTTTTCCTCTGGAATTTCACATTTAATTTGTTTTTGTCCATCGACGTGTCATAGAAAAGACCTCTACCGCAAATATTCCAATATTAATTAATATTTCTATTAATTGATTCATGAGTGACTAAATAAGAAACCGAACAAGTTGATTTCATGTCAAGTCGAATAACCAAAAAGGAAATAAATAAATATAAGAACTCCCATGTGGAAAATTTTATTTTATTTTGTCCTTAAGGACAGTCTTACGCACGTGCCCTAGAAATTCAACATTTTGAAGCTTTTTTTTATAAACCCCATAAGTTATATATCATACGAAAAATTGTTCCTTCCTAGGCATACTAAAACACCTTTGATTAAGTAGAACAGTTTTTCCAACTTGCTTGAAATTTGAGAGCCACATTTTAAAAAAATTACCCACATAGGCCTACCCTGCTATACCTACTTTAACATCTGACGGATGCTAAGATATATTTCAATGTTATTGAATTGAAAACTTATCAAATCTTCCAGAATTTAATAAATAACAAGAATATTTGATAAGAATATGGGCCCATAAAATCGAGGATTGGCTTTGGATGTCAGTATGAAACACCCTGTACATGGACCAATGGCTTTGAGGACGGTCAATAAATGTTTTCATGTTTTCAATTTGGTATATATTAACGTAGACATAACTTCAAAAATATCACAAGATAAATTTCAATAATGATGATATAAAAACCCCTTTGAATCTTTAAACAGGTGAGTAAAGAAATCTAAAGAGAAAATGTGATTTTCGTTCGACCTACTTTGGCAAATTATCTTGGAGGTTTTGCACCAGACTGTATAAAATACAAAGCTAAAACAATAACACAAGCAGATTACAAGATTCAAGTTTCATGTACATTGCACAGTAATAACTTATTTAAGCATGTAGATCGCACTTCAGGAAGCGAGTACAAAAGGAAATGAGGAAAGTGGAAATCTAAAAACAACTTCAAAACAGAACCATTGGAGGAAATCCTTCCTTATTTGTGGGGGATTACCACTTGGTAAATATCATTGATCAAAAGACTTTTGATCACAGTACATTAAAAATATAACTTGATTCATGTAAGCGGGTACACCGCTGACAGATTATATATACCCAATAATTATTTTAACCGATTTAACCACAAAGGATTTCTAGTCCTCCTGAACTCAATTGGATAGCAAGTTGCACCAAATAAAAAACAAATACGCCAAATAAAGAAATCATCAATGATAGAATAAGTGATAAAAATGAAAGCATAAAAGCGACATCATAGGCCAGAAGCAATTTCCTGTAGCCTGTAGGAGACTAGTGGATCGGGGGAAAACAATTGCAACTTATAAGAGCTGAACAATTTGACGAATTATAGGTTTATCACTATTAGACGATTCGTCGAGGGTGGTTGAAGAGTCTGCACAGAGGATCTCGAGTGTACTCGCTATTCAGTATTCAGAACACTAATAGGAACTACTGAGAACGGGGAGCTCTGAAATATTGTAACTTTTTAAGTGGGGTACTTAAGTTTATGAAGTGGTAGAGAAATTTTAACACAACCTATAATTCATACAACGACCTACCGTTCGAGTACTGGAAATATTTAGACTTGGCTGCAATCGAGATAGTAACGTTGAAAAATAAGTTCCATAACAGTGGTAAGTAGCTTTTTACGTAACGTTTATTTTTATCTGGAAACATATTTGTAATTTCAAACGATTCAACTTCAAGGATTCTTTTACTTATGGTAAATCTGCTTTGGATGTCATAGTAAGAGAATTTAATCAAATATGATTTCGAAGACGATGAAGATGTTTCTGCAGACATTATGGTAAGTCATAAAGTTTGAGCTAAATAGATAAATCACTCACGTTTATTTTGTTTTTATTGCAAAATTACACACTTTGTGGTGGTATATTGGGCCATTGGTAAGTGTTGTTTTATTGTTCGGTCGTAAAAGTGACAGAAAGAACTAATTGCCTTATCATATGGACGAACTTATTTTTTACAAGTTGTCTTGTATATGCACATAACGCCCATGGTAACTTTCTTCGTTAACTGACTGTTCCCTAATCGTCTATATGTGCATGTAAAGATTTCCGTTAGCCATCCTGGCTTTCCAATGATATATCAATTGAAGGTCACAAGGTGATTTGGTTGGTAAAAGATCGGCTTTATTTGGCTTATTTGCAGCAATTCGTCTAAAGAGTTGACAAATACACCTTTTTCTAAATCTATAGTTGTCATCTACAAAGAATATCTACTGGCCTCTTGGCTTTAGGGTATAAATATAGTAATGGTGAATGGCCCTAACAGATGAAAGCTTCTTCCTTTTGCCCTCCTGAATTCTTTACTATTCTAATATCACGACTGCCAATTTAAAGAAGAACAAAGAACGAAAAACCCTGGTCATATCACCTGGTCATTTCTATAATACATCTATGGCAATCAAAAAACAGTGCTAGAAATGGAAATGCGCGACTTTTCCCAATCATAATACCATGCTATATCCAACTTGCGTTGGTGCTTTCAAATGGTAGAATGAAATGTATAAAAAAGAACAATTGTTTCAAATGGGCCATTTAAAATACCAAAAATGGAACATTAAGAAAAAGTGAGTCTCCTCTTTTAAATAAATTTTGTTATTAAAAAAATATTCAAATAGACATAAAACTGATCATGTGCCTCGAGCCTAGTAAGTTGGAGATATTGAGAGAAGTAAATCCTTTATAAAATATTGGACCCCACACCCAATATGTCATTGTCGGCGCACGTGGAATCGCTAAATAAAGTACAGATAGTTAAATAGCAGATCAACTCGAGGACCTAAAATGTTAGGTTAGGCTATAAAATATTGTAATTTTTACTTCGAACAGTAAAAAATATTATATTAACACGAAGATGGATCAAAAGCTTAAAAACCTCACTTTACAAAAGCTTTTGCATGTCAACCATTCAAACGCTTTATACTTCTACATGAGAACGAGCAAACATTTTTTATGACTATGTTTACATTAAATTGAAACAACTCCAATACGTTAATATATTTTTTACGATCTATTGTAGTGGCTCTAATATGAAACGCTGATGAAACCTACCGAATTCTATACGTTTAAAAACAGTTTATTTTTCTCGGCAAATACAGAGTATTGTCCGAGTTCGACATTTCGTGATCCAAAAATATAAAAGATTCAAAACAGAATTAGAGACGATATTTTATATGTTTAATGAAGAATATCATCTATTTGAGAAACTCAATAGTCGTCTGCAATTGTGAACTCGACAGTATCAAAATAAAGAGATTTGAGGTTTTGAGTAGAGAAAAAATATTCTGGGCCCAGTTGTTTAAAAATATTTACACGAGAGTAGTAAAGAATAATGTCCCCCATTCAACGGTAATGGTCCTCCTTTACTAACAAGTTAAAAGAAGGCTAAAGTAACCTACTTGTGTGGAGGTGATCATGAAAATAAGCAGATACCCGGAAGAAATATTCCCATGTAAAACAAAATCACTTTGCTAATTTACAATGACAGATATTTAAAATAAAGCCGTAGGTATCTAGCTAGACTTTCAACTAAGCCCCACTTGCAAAATATAGATAATTATATTCTAATGCATAACGGCATCATGAGATCTAAATAGTTTGGCAATTGATATGATTATAACTCATTGCCTGCTCGATTGACCTTCTCATGCATGCTTGACATAGTTGTTCAAAAGTCTTGAGTAACTGTCCTGTTCGCATTTCAATGTTTGTCTTTTTTTGCTTTCATTTCCAATTGAGCCATTTATTTTTTTATTTCGAATGTTGTCATATCTTTTTTTTGTTTTAATGTTGCCATTTGTGTTTTCATTTCGAATGTTGCCATTAGTGTTTTCACTTCACTTTTAATTCGATTGTTGTAAATTGTGTTTTCATTTCGAATGTTGCCGTTAGTCTAGTGTTTGTATTTCGAATGTTGCCTTTTTGTTTGCAGTTCTAATGTTGCCATTTGTGCTTACACTTCGAACGTTGCCATTTATGTCTGCAGTTCGAATGTTGCCATTTGTGTTTCCAGTTCGAAACGTTGCCAAGTATTTTTGTAGTATTTCTCACGATCTAAATAGTGCAAATCAATAAATAACATTTTGAACTTTATTACGTCTTCGACCTCGATAAATTTTCGAAGATCCTGGTAATAATTTTGTCTGATGACATTGACTTAGCTAGATCTTCTTAAATATATCTATATGCACTAAAATAACGCGGACTAATATACCCAATTAATGAGAAAAGTCTGGGCCATAATATTCCATTTCATATTTACCGAGATATAAATGTGATATCTGATATTGAAAAAACAAAATATGAGTCTATAGGGACTGAAGAAATCAACATATTTGCTGACCTTCGTAAACACTCATAAATCTATGTACATTAACGTTGAAACGCTATCTTTATTAATGGTACCATTAGTAAAAAAATGATCTAATAATTCCCCGGTGTGATGATGGGGGACGATCTAACTACCATCTGTGAGTAATCTGGTTAAGTACCTAGCCATGAAAAATGGGAAAGATGCTGACATAGAAATCTTGAAATTTAAGTGCAACCCGGTGTAAAGGAGAATTGTGCACAGGGAATATAAGCCTCGTTTTTATGAATACCTTCCAAGCCAAGACTGTGTTGGACGTCACCATGTAACTGTCGGTCCAAGACAATGGATACTTAAGATTATTCACCTGTATCAATGGCCCCTCTCTCTTGATTAATTTAATGATTTGATTACAATATTTTTGCATTAGGTTATATTCGATCAGGGTCATATAAAATGGGACCATAATCACTGAGACCAATGTCAATATCATTCTCTTTGGGCACCTTAATTTGTAAAAAATACCAGAAAAGACTCAAAATCCTACATTTCATTCACCTTATCCTGCACCTGGTTATTCTAAAATGTAGGGGTGGGGCAGACAGCATCGAGACACAGATCCCCAAGGTTTAGGTTTGCGGCGAAGGTGTTTAGAAAGCTAAGAACCACTAATGACATTGTTGAGAGCTATAGTGAAAAATGTGCAAATATGGAAAAGCAATCTATCAATGAAACGGGTGCATTCATAGTAGGTAGCAAGATCAATACAGAGAACCCCTGTTTGAAGAGAACCACTCAGTAGTGTGTTGAACATTGGTAGAAACCCACATCATAAAACCTGATTAGGAATTTTGACTGATGTATTTTTAAAACGCTGGCATTTGATTATGATTGAAGTACTAGTAGTGTTTTTATGGTTTTAGGTTTAACATTGGTTTACAAAATAATCTTCACATGATACATCGCAGGTAAGTAACACTTGTTCAGGGTGGATAAAGATGCGTAAAGAACACAATCAAACTTTTTAACCGTATCCACCTGTTGTTTCTACAGTTTGGCGTATTTTCCACCGACAATAGGGAGTTTAAGAATGCATATAAAATCGAAACGCCAACCTATACGTATGACCAAGTGGCCATACAAATGCATCGCTTAAATATTTTCCGTTCGCGTTTGAAAAACATTGCAAGCTTAACCCCCCACCTCCAAACGCGGGCGGTCCAGACAGAAAGGAATAGAATTAACTGTGTCTATTTAAGCCCTGCGTTCGGAGAATGTTTTTATTTTCCCGTATCGTCCAATTTTCATATTCATCACTGTATGTCTAGAGTTAAACTTTAAAATGTACCAGAGTGAGACGTTGCACAATTTGCAAGTGATTCACTATGTTCATAAGATAAGAACATTGAACAGTCTGCCATATTTTTACTGGGAGATAATTGAAAGGTTTATGGTCTCACTTGACTCCCTTTTAATGAGCTAGTTCCTTCAAGATAAAATTCATCCAATATCTTTTCTATCAAGAAGCAACTTGTTCCTCAAATATCTTCAAAGGCATTTATCAAAGGATGTGCGATTGGGTCTATTAGATGGACATTTCAAATTGTCCCCGGGTGAACATGATATTAGATCGTAGAAGAAGTTGCATCTGAAAAGTGAAACAAGAACAGTCTACTAAGAACTGTAAAATTGGGGCATTTCGTTCACGATTGAACGTAGTTTTGCATTCCCCGTTATACAAATAGGGACTCCAGAGACTCGCATCATGATAAACCATGACATCTCATTTCATCTCAGCCCTGAGATTCAGGTGAAACAGAAAGATGTTATGAGTATCAGAATCAGAGACTCGATGCAAAACTAAACGCAAGTCTTCCATCCACAAGTTTCTTGATTTTTTGGGGTCCGAGCATTATACCAAAACCCATTATACCGACGCGCATTATACCGAAACCCATTATACCGACGCGCATTATATCGAAACCCATTATACCGACGAGCATTGTACCGAAAGGCGTTATATCGAATGCCATAATCACTGTTCCACAACTAGTTAATTTGACGGAACGTCAATGTAACAAAATGGATGAACTTCCTGGTTACCAATTTTTTGCTTTGTGGATTTAAACCTACTAATAAGTCAAGTTGCAGATTATAATTTGGCCCAAAGCTAGAAAATATAGCCTAGTTTTAATAAGTTTCTTCGATTTGGAATTTGTTTTGTAAATGAAGCTGTAATTCATATACTAAGCCCCTCGCTTTTGTTACATTGACGAAAGCCTGTTATATTACCAATGTATGTTACTTTGTCCATGTTTAGCCCGACCATTTTTAGAAAACTTGAAAATCTCTAGAATTTGAATAAAGGTAAATAACAGTGCAAAAACTAAGTTGTTTTGATAGAAAATTACACACAGAATTCAAATAGAAGAAAATGTTAGTCTTTAGTGGTTAAAAATGCAGATCTCCTAAAATCTCATTAAAATTAGACCTTAGCGAGATTTTAAAGCCACTATTAGATAGATGCGTTCACTGGGCTATTCTCTGTACTTGTGTCCGTGCCTCATTTTGAGTAGCGAGTGTAGATTCTTTTCGGAAACATGATTATGTTTTCCCCGTAATATGAATTGGAGATATCTTACAAAATATGGATAGCCTAAAATATAAATTTTGTGTTTTTGAACATGCGGAAATATCTTGAACACTTTGACACTGAAGTACAGTTCCTTAATAGGTCGTTCAGTTTTCTTGTTTTTGTTCTACACAACACTCGTGTTTAATAGCCACGCGTAATTATTAATGAGCGTAATCAGATTATTTCAAGCGTCGAAATAGCTTATTTTCCTCGACGTATCTACACAAACCTATTCACTTACCGTTATATTGAGCGATCTAGATGCGTCAATTATAATTGTTTTCACTCATCGACTTTAGTGACCCGCGATACCTTTTATTCATTTGAGACGCAATTGATATATTGGCAACAAATCAAATGTTCTAAATGATTCTTCTTCATTTTGGAATGTTTCTCATACCCGATATTCAAAGATGTGTCTTAAATATTATACTTTACATTGATCACGATTCTTGTACTTTCTGTCTTTACGACTCCCGTTCACATTTGCAAGAGTCGTTGATTGCATTGCCTTGATCGTTGGTCGAACTTCGATTCCAACTAAATCAGATTAATCAATTAAGAAATGTATCATGTTTATCCAAGCAAATAATTGTAACAACTACATTATTTTTTAGCAGTTTTGACACCTAAGCAGGGTAGCCTAGTGGCGTAGACTGAGGCTACTTTGCGGTTGAACGTCGTGGGATACGGAGGTCCCGCGTTCGAGCCCCAGGTACGGAGTTGTTGATCATTGTCACTACGGACACCCGGTCCGAAGGTCCAACCGTTTACCGGCCCTTGGCATGGGTTGGTTCTCTGGCCGCTCTTGCCGGAGACAGATTGTGAGACTGTGGTTGGTTCCTCCACTAACGTGCTTTAGTAAACTCCGGGAGTCATATAGTATGGTAGCGGGCCCCCACCAAGGGCAGTAGTGGAACGACGCGAATCGGTCCCAGTATGGTTGCCTCGCAACTGAAGAGACTCGAGGAAATCATGCCATTCGCAGTGACCCAGAAAAGACTTTTGCTTCTTAATATGACGTTTTAATTCATTTATTCATATACTTTATTCATATTACTTTCCAGGCAGTTATGATTTTTATTGGTCAAATGAATGAACGAGACATATAGATACTATTAAATACATCTAGATAGTATCAAAACCATAATTCGATTTGTCGGACATATATAAAATAACACTTGAAAACACAACACACATAGCTGCAATATCCGTAGCATTTGGCACAATTATGATTTTTGTTGTTCAAATGAATGAACGAGACATATAGATACTATTAAATACATCTAGATAGTATCAAAACCATAATTCGATTTGTCGGACATATATAAAATAACACTTGAAAACACAACACACATAGCTGCAATATCCGTAGCATTTGGCACAATCGGTTCCCACGCTCTATCATTTTGTGCGGTCATCATAAGATAAGGAGGTACGGTTGACTGGACCATGGGCTTTCAACAGAGTCAAGAAATTGGCATGGATAAGTCCATATCCGTTTCGTTTTTTATATTTTCACATGTTTGACAGGGTCAAAAAGGCCCAAGCATTGGTTCCTTCAGTGAGTGGCCATTGGTTAGCCTGCTCGCAGAGTCTAGTTATAAACGAATTAGACGGAGCTCACTTTTAAGAAGTGAATTCGAACGAATGCTTTGGGTAGTCATTGGTCAGATATTTCGGATATTTTTCAGTGGTTAAATTCTTTTGATCGCGTCTGTCTCCGGATCACAAACTGAATGTCAAAGAAATCAAATCATCAATTGTGATCATAATGACTTGATTGCTCTGACCATCGTGACCTGCTGTCATTTGGTTTACCTACCGAATAGTGGACACTTAGACAAATCTATAATTCAGCAATTAGATTAACTTTGATGTCCTCGTTGATGATAGTATTCAGAAATATCAATCACATTTGGAATGATCATAACTTATTTTCTTGATTTAATTTCATTTCGTGACACTGATTTAGCCTGCTTGAAAAATGGACCCTCCTTTGCGCGATCATTTTTTACAAACGTAATGTTAATGGTGTGCGCGATAAAAACTGCTAAAATTGATTTGAAGTATTGGTTGTTTTGAATGTCCCCATCAATGAAGATAGAGCTTGGAACGTCGTTGGGTTTTATATGGTGATGTGCGTCTTTGGAGCATGCGACACTCTAATGACATCAAACCTTTAATAGTTTTGAAAAATCGACAAACTCCAAACTAAACATCTTTTCTGAATTGCGATTTTAATGTATTTTGAATAACCGCAGGATAAGCAGTGAAACTAAAATCAGACGACATCACTAGGATACAACAAGCACCTGGATGTTCAATGAGTCAACTAGTTTTATTTCAGGATATTACTTCAACTAGCTTGTGTAGTAGATAACAATGGTTGCGTCATTTTAATTGAATTGATTTCCATGGTAACAGCTTCGCCTAGAAACTTTACCAATCACCATAGCAACCTTTGATGTGGCTCTTGGAAACCTATGAAGCACGGAATTCCGACCACGTTAATCTGCTTCACGCTTGGACTTAAGCCGACTGGGATAAAACAGGTTACCAAACCAAACCTAACTCACTTGGTAATCGGGTTTTGAACTATACTTTGATCTTTATAACAAGGATTTGGACATTCGCCTTCAATATGAAGTAACCATGGTAACAGATCCATTAGTGTAGCTTGGAATTTGAAGAATCACGGTAATTAAACTATTTTTGATTGATTTTGCATTATAACCGTAATCGATTCAAGTTTTCCAATTTCATATAACAAGATTTGCTCTGTCCCTAATGGCTTCAATAATATATAATTACTTCTAGTCTACTAAATTGTACGGGGCCAAGGTCAATCGTCAGAGTAAAATAAGGTACTTCCATCTTGAATTAACAAGGTATCAAACAGGTAAGTGTGAGGTTTTTCAGTTACAGTCTGTTCAGAACCATTGGCAACTCGATTGCTCAAATCAGTAGCTTTAACACCTGAACACGGGAGGTCTAGACCCAAATCAAATCCTTATCAAAGTTGAGATTGTGTAACGAATTCTTACATCACCGATAATCACAATAAATCGGAGTTATGCAATTAAACGCGGCTAGGAACAATCACAATCCATGGAACAGCACAGGTTTATAGATTCAAGAATGTCATTCTCTGAATAAGACCACACCAGAATCCGGGACTATGAAGCAACAAAAGGGTTGATATTTTCTGTGATTTATGGCTTTGAAAGAGGATACAGATTGATAATACTTTCTAACTTTTACTTTTTGATATATAACATCAAAGATTACCCAAGCCTGGAGACTGTCTAAGATACAACAAAGAAGGATCCGTGGTAAGTTTCTATTATTGGGTCACGTGATAGATATCTACCAATCATCAGTTTGAAAATAAATGTTGGAGTATGGGGTGTGTATACACTCTCTTGGAATTCATCAAGGATAAAGAAACAAATTTTTGGGGCAAAACACAAGTTCAAAACGTTCTGTTCCGAGATCTAGATTTGTAAAGTTGAAAGAAGCCCAACAGGATACAATCTGCTACTAGCCTGGAACCAAATGCGATATGAAATTGATGAGGTGATTTTTAGGTTATGATACAGGCGATTTTTCATTCGAAGCATTTTTACTCTTCGTGATACATCCCATAGTGAGCCGTCTGCAGGAAAGTTGGTAAGTGTTTTTTGCAATAATTTAGAAAAGGATGAAATATAATTCAGACGACACGATGGAAGGATGTTCTCCAACACAGATAAAGAGTAAGTTTTTTTTAAAAAATTGAATAACATCAACTCAAAGTTATCTTCGTGATAATAGTAAATGCGGTAGTGGTAAGTTGACCTGATTTTGACCTATTTCACATTGCTCATTACCATTTAGACTTTAATGACCGTTATTTGTTATTTGCCAAACCTTTCCATGGCCAAAGATATTTTATCATTTATTGATTAGGACCCTTATCTCTGCATTCAATCCGCGTAGGACCACAGGACACAGCTGTAGATTTGACCTGATGTACATTTTATAATGGAAGCAATTACAATGAACTTATATCCGATGGATCCATGTACCTCAGACAAAATTATATAACCCGCTAGTAGCTAATCATAAATCAATTTGTTCTGTAACATCAAACCAATTTATATGATGATGTTTTGGCAAAGATGCAAAACAATTAATCGTAGAATTTCATCCAATCTGGATGTTTATCTTTCCAAGTGGGTTGATTTTATCTTTGTTTTCTATGATAACAACGTATAGGGGAGAAAAATAAACAAGTTATTGTAGCGATTTATTCATCGCAGGAAGTCCACACTATTTAGTTGAAGGTTTCTAAACAGTTTTCATTAGTGACACTGGTATATCAACATGTGCAAGAAATGATCAACAAGTCTGAGATTTCGAAGAAGAGCAAATAAAATTTGAAATTACAAGTTAAGAAAGCAGGTAACATGTTTATAAAAGATAAGAATTATCAATGATATTGCCAATATTGGCCATGTATACTGAATCTGGAGATAACATTTTACATGTTATTAAATCCCCATTCTTCTTTCTTCATTCCAGGTCATCGCAAGTGGACGCTAACAATGTTCAACTTCACGGATTTGAGGCATTTTTTCGACTACAGTGATTACGAACTCATAGAGGGCAATATTACGGACTTTTCCCCCTATTATCATACGGAGCAGCCCACGGTGGACATGTCTACTAACAAGTACCTCATAGGCTTCGGCTCGGCTCTCGTCGCCTGGGTCATCATCAGCAACCTGACAGTGATCATCTCCGTACTGACGTCACGGAGATTTAGTGATCAACCAATGAAATTGTTCATCGTAAATCTCAGTCTTAGTGACGTTCTGGTCGGCTTGTTGGTGATACCGTTCGCTCTACACACACAGGTGGCCGAATCCTGGAAGCTTGGACTGGTAGCTTGCAGGGTGTGGATCTTTTTGGACTGGCTTTGTGGATGTTTGTCCATGTATGGATTACTCATGTTGAATTTAGACAGGTTCATATTTGCCCTGCGTCCAGTCAAATACAACCATTGGATGTCGTTGAAATCGCATTGTGCAGTGGTCGTTATGTTATTGTTGCCATGGCTAACGTCTGCCATTGTGGCGATCCCCTTGACAACAGACGCTGAAAGTGCCCGGATAGATCATATCCAGTCCCTACAGGTTTGCACCAGTGGTTCAAGCCCCGTCTTCATGATTGGTTCGTCTGCGGCGTTATTCTTCCTCCCAATGACACTCGTACTCGGAATGTCACTCGTTACCATGTTAGTAGCGTTCATATCCCATAGCAACCGCTATACAGAGAATATAGATGGCGGTATCCAGCAGAGCTTCAGAAAGGCTAAATCAACATCGGTTGCCATGTTGATAGTAAATCTGGTATACCTTGTGATGTGGTGTCCGTATTTCTCGCTACTCGTTATTCTAGGTCTGTCCGATGGTTGTTCAGAGGCATGCCCCGACCCCCTACTTTTCCACGTCATGTACTGGATAGGCTACTCTAACGCGGGTATAAACCCAATCCTTTGGTTAATGTTTGGGGATGTACGACAGTGTGTCAAGAGGGTGCTGTGTTGCAAATCATGTAAAAAGAACGATTCTAGAACTGAGCTAGTAATGGCTAATTCGCCAAAAAGTGCGATGCTAAATGACTATACTGCAATGGAAAATAGTTCCAGTACTGAAACAGTTGCCAATAATTTCAACGAGAGTCCGAAAGAAAAATTAGTAGATAAATCGAGCTATTGATTTGTCAATTTGAAAATACCTTAATTCAAAGGCTTTTGTCACTAACCCAATTGGACAAAGAAGAAGATTCTTACAATTTCAATCAAAATATTTTGATCTAATTCGAAATTCAACAGTTATCTAGTTTTAATACCCGCTAGATGAAGGCTAACAATAACATGGTTTTACTACTTGGCTGATGATGTTGATCGTATTCTAATTTGTAAAAAAACATTGTAAATATAATGTAAATATATTATTTATTCAGTAAATTACATATTATGCACTGAAGTAGTAAATATGACGAAATAAAGCAGTTTTATTATTGAAAAATTCACTATTCCGTTACTCGTATTATATGATTACCCCGACTTTCCAGAGGATAGTGGTAGTAAGTAGGATCTCCAGAATAGGGAGGTTAGTATAACTCGTTTTAAGGGAACGTTTACGTGAGCGTATATTATTTCGATCGAGTATATAACTGTCACGCTATCAATTCACTTTTCCGGGGACAATCATTTCCCTTACACCCTTATACTCAATCGGCCAAGTAAACAGTACAAATGGGAGAACTAATCAACAGAGAACCATTCTTTCATTTTCTAGTATATTTTATTCAACTGTGAATCAATCAAATTTTAGGATGAATTTCAATAAAAAGCTAGAAATGTATTTTAGTAAGTTCTATTTAAAGCACGAGGCTAGTCAACATTCAAAATGGCAGCAATAATCACGTGCTATATTTTTCATTTAAATTCATTATTACAGTGACCCACATATAGGGTCCCACCCCTCTCCCCTTAGATGGGCCCAGGAAGAAATTGCCGGCCCAAATATTTTGTAGGGCCTCAATTAGCGGGCCTATAAGGGCATGACTTGGCCTTTTTGAGCCTTTTTAGATCCTCCGATCACAGGGCTTCAAAATCCAGAATATATTCTTTCTTTTAAGAAGGAGGTACGGATTCTGGATACCTGCTTAGGAGGATGTTTTAGGCCAAATTGTCAAAAGCTTTCCGAGAAGCAGTCGATTTACTCAAAAGAGCCCCGGACGAAAGTCGAAAATCACACACATGCGCGATCGAGGTCATAGTGTGGAATAGGGAGGTTAAGCAACACGTTTTAGAGACCCTTTGTAGTATCTACTGCCCAAATGTAGACATGATTAGCTCCCTGGAAAATCAGACCAAAAGGGGACAGTAACCATCCCTTGGGGGCCGTGGAGGCATAATATTACACGTTCACGTTCTCTTAAGACATGTAGCTTACCTACCTGTTGTGTATTCAGTCTAATACTTGGCCACCAGAAGTGTCTTAGAGAAATTCTGAATGTGTAGAATTATAGTCCTGTGGGGACTAGTTCTCCCTTTGTAGTATCTACTGCCCAAATATAGACCTGAAAAAATCAGTAGCTTAACCTACCTGTTGTGTATTCAGTCTAATACTTGGCCACCAGAAGTGTCTCAGTTCATAGGCGTAGCCAAGATTTTACAGAAAATAATACTTCAATAGAGAGATTTTTTCCTTGAAATTGAGATCTAGTGACAGTACCACATTGCATTTCAGTCAATTTGTGCCCCATCTATTTAAATTGTCTATTGTTAGACCTTGCGTCCATGCAGTTTTCTTAGAGTTGACCCCTTCTTCAATTATTCTGTTGACGTGATACGTTTACCATACAAAATGCTGAAGTTGCGAAAAGCCGAGCACCAATAGACAGACAGACGGACGGAGGGACGAACGAATAGATTAACGCTTTTAGAATCTTTTGCACGTTTCCTTCTTGAACTATAATTTAATGCCATCTCATCATTAAAAATAATTTTTGAAAGGGTAATAAAGGAAAGAAACGAGTTATGGGTACCTTTGAAAAAACTCTATAACCTTGTCATTTCATCCTCTGGCATGCCTATTTGTAGAAAATCAAAGCGTTCCAAATCTACTTCATGATATGCTATAGTAAAGTCAGACGTCATTTTGCAGTTACCAAACCGATCTGAAATGAAAATATATAATTACAATTCCCTTTTCATTCAATCATATTATATATGTATAGAAGTGGACCACTGTACAATGTTTATGCGCCATCTATATTAACTGACGAAAATCCAAAATTTTAATGACAATGTTTTCGTTCCATACTGATACAATGCTGACATCTATTTTACAATTAAAATTGTTTTACGTTAAAAAATAGATTTAAAGAGTACTGTAAAACTAATCAATTTTACAACGTATTGGGTTTCAGGATCACGTTCCTCATTACGGTGATTTACGCCATGACTTTTAGTTTTAATTTGCTCAGGGGAAATCAGGTAGACTATGTTAAAATACCTGACCTCGTTTATGAAAAGGGATATTTGGAGGAGGGGGTGTATGAGTGATGCTATTATACAAATAAATGATACAGTTTTCCACGAAATGCTGCATCAATTTTCCACCCGTACCCTCGACCCTTAACGCTCAAACCTGCAAGGGTGGGAAAGTATAAGACGGGAGTTGCGTTGGTTGGGGGGGGGATAGTCTCCAGGTATCTGGATCATGTGGAACACGAATCAGAATATATCCGTGTCAGCACTCAGCAACCAAGTATTTACCTCTAATTGGTGTCAAATTTATGGAACGGGGCGGGACAGAATAAACAGCGAGCTGGAAGAGGTCCCCAAGAGGGGATTAAACTACATTTATCTTGCAAACTTCTGCCATGGTATTCATCAAATCGACATTTCTTCCTGCTGCAACTGACATGAAACGCAAGAGATTATATGCCAAGTCCCTAGGCAGGTCACGTGATCAGATTTAACCAATCCCATTAGAGATTGAATGTTTTAATGGCATTGGGTGCAGGTAAGAGTCGCCTCCATTTACTTAAATGATTCTCCATAGTAAGTGACTTTTGCAAAAATAGTTTGTTTATGGGAAGTTATTTTGTGTTTATGTTTATCATTTCTGTTTCTATATACAGAACATGGTGATTTTTGAACGTTGTTACGGTTACCATGGTTGCCGTAAATGATACATACAATGGTTGTTGTTACAGTTACCATGCAGGTAACGATATTTCAGGCACCAAATGTTGATCTTATAAGTCATCATTCCCAGTTTTTCCAGGACTCAAATAAAACAAGGAATTTGTTTTTATGGACACGAAAAGGCAATTAATCAAAAACAGTGATTCAGTTTCTATGACAATATTACCATTTGGTTTGATTACCATAGCAACAGAGCACGTTATATTTCAATTAATTAATCCCATACATACTTTTTCAAACGAACAGGACACGACTTGGCGTTGATTAAACAAGAATCGAAACACTGAGTTGACAAGTGGTGGGTGGGAAATAAGATAAATTATTTTTATTTTTAGATTTTCAAGATTTCCCTAACTGCCCACATTTTGCACCCTGAGGATAACCCCTGACAATGACAACAATGAGTACTGTGTGACAAACGCTTGTGTCATCATAAATTGTCATTTTCAATTTATACTTCTCAATCAAAATTATTTTCTAAAGTCATTTCAAGATAACTTGTAGATGATATCAAATAACAGGATATATGAGATATCAATTCACTGCTACTTCACTCGTGCCATGCCCTTTTATTTCAAATAGTTTGATTTTACCTATTCACAAATTAGAAATTCAAAGATGACAACTTGGGTTATTACCGGGGGTTATTTGTAAGTGCAATCATTTTGTGCGATTCTCCTAGTCCATAAATAAAACTGAACTCGACATTCTTCAATGACCTAGAAACGATGACTTCTCAATGTTTTGCTTCCTCATTACTAATACAATTTAAGAAACACGCACAAGAAGTTATTAATCTTATGACACAAAATCAGAGACAAACTTGTGAAATATTAACTCCAGGCTAAACAGGTGTATGTCGTAAGTCGTAAACTTGTCTCGATGTTTTTATGATGTGTTTATAGGAAGTTTGCTCATATTTTTTGTGGTGTACATAAACTTAGTTTGACTTTGAACCACGAAACATCAAGGCGTCGGAACACGGAATTCACTTTCCACAGGCATGCTTCAATATTTGTTTTAGCATTATTGTTGGACTTGTTCTGCCTCTCACTCCATTATTTTCTATTTAACGCCATAATGCATTGTGATGACTTTAAATTGCAAAATCAACAAAGGTTTCCGTTAGCAAACTTATCGAGAGACTCTACAACCTACTTCATCTGAAACGCTCAATAAAAGTTTCGATAATGTAAATAGTAGTATAGACTCTTTTTTAAATAAAAGCCCAAGTTTTTTTGTCGCAAACAGAACACTCATAGCTCGAGTATTACTCATACTGACACTGGGGTTATATAAATCGGTAAGTCGAGTGGACTGGATTAAAAATAGCTAGAAACGGATGGATTGGGTCCTATCCTTGCCCCTGGCCATCGGACAAGCAACAGCGCTGCAACTGCCCAGAATCAGCAGATAATTAAGTGATAAGCCATAGGTTATGGGACCTTACAGGCGTAGGCGTGTAACATAACATTAAGATTTGTGTTCGTAAGTTGGTTAGTCCATACAGACTTGACTTTGTTAATGTTTTACTAGACGACTAAGATAACAAATTGTAATTGCAATTTTAAGGACACGTTTCAATTTTGGAGACTATTTGCTTTTGTAGTCGACATACATGTTGTTCATCGACGGAATCTGTTATTTTTCAATTCACACCTTCCACTTTGGATCTATTATAAAAAAGTGAACAATCGATCAGAGCGAGAAGTGGGAACGCTTAGAGTAAACTGAAGCTACAGTTACTGATCGCGTCCAACTTTAGTCACGGATCGCGTCCAAAGACGGTCTACCAGCTGAAAACATCGCAACACACCATACCGCTCAATATTTCAGGAACCATTTGAACCATGGTGATATAAACCCGAGAGAAAGCAAGAGGATGAGATTACAGACAAAATAATCAAAGTGAGATTATAACACCGAAAGACTAATATCGACCAAAACCACAAGCGTTACATTCTACAAAACTCAAAGAGACCAATGTAGAAACTAAACATTTAACCAGAGCTCACTTATGGAATTTACAAAATTTCTGTCTTCGAAAATGACCCATGAGAATTAGGTAAGGATTTAGATTTGCAGTTTTGAGGCCATACTTAGTGTGAATCATATTTGCCGAATCTTGGAAGTGAGAAACAATTATTTACTTATTAACACTAAAGTCACAGCGGATATGCAATTAAAGTTTAATCATTAACTGCACCCATTTCTTATATTGACATCTCCAATATTGATATCTGGACTTTGAGCAGTATCAAATACTGAATTGGGGATTATTCAAGAACGATTGTATGGGTACCAACATATGGTAAAAGCAGTTAACATTCAGGAATGTTTATAGTTTGTCATCGTTTCGGACTTTAAAGAGCGATAATTGATCCACAGAAGACATCTGGGCTATGTCTTATTGAAGGACAAAATAGATTAATGGGGACACATAAAGATTATGGGACAATTTTCAACAAACAAACACGTGAAAACAATCCGATACTCACTGGCATACGACTAACTCGATAAAGAAAATACTGGAAAGTATCTCTGCAAAAGTGATTCAGAAATTATTTTTGACATTTAGACCACCCGAGGTCTGCCAAAACTGGCATCTATAAACCAAAATAACTTAAATATTTAAATGGATTAATTTAGGAATGGACACCTCATTCAAGATGAAACTCATATACTGGGAATTACACAATGCATGGTTAGTAACCATAGCATCAATGCTGCTTAGCAACGGACTTGGAGTAGCAGGGGTGTCGTCTGGTTATTGCCCGTTTGTGCCCCCGGGAACAGCTGAGTATTGCATAGGTAAAGGAATTGATACTAAAGGATGTACAAATGACACTGAATGCGATGAAGGTACAAAGTGTTGTTTTGAGAGTATATACAATTGTAAAACAGTGTGTAGAACAAGCAAAAGACACCAGCCAAGACTTTTGGGAGTGAAACTTACAATCGAACTCCACCACGAGTTTTCCTTAATAGCTGACAAGCAGGAATACTTTGAGTATAGATTTCGAAAACATCTAAATAATCATTACAACCTTTCACATCGACAAGTGCTAACATTAGACACAGGGGTCGGGTGTTGCAAAAACACGGAAGTATCAATGACAGTTGCGAAGTCAGAGGACATCACAAATGATGACTTTGAAAATAGAATAGCAACGCTAAGATTACATGTACTTCTGAAGACATTTCATTTGCATTACGATGGTAGGCGATGGAAAGGGTTGGCGATAAGGTCAAATGACGCTTGGGGAGACGTATATTACCCAACTAGTCTCACAACGACGACGTCAACGTCTACAACAATTACTACAACATTACCAACAACAACCCCTACAACCTCTACAATTACAACCACAACACAGAGACCAACCACCTCCAGTCCAACCACAACAAAAGCTTCAACTGAGGAGCCAGCCAAATTAACAAACAATACACAAACGGTTCTAGCTCCAGTCGTGAACAGAACCAATACTGTACAAAGCTCAACAATTAAAGTCAGGGAAACGAGACCAGATATCGCAGGTTCAGGTACACAACTGAAACTACAATTATCTACCTTGTTAATTCCAGTTTTATCCCTTTTGGTGTATTTATAGGGTAGATTACTGCTGTACAGAGATAGGGGGATGAGTAAACCCCTCACCTATGTACGTTTAAAAAACAAAATTCAGAGATCTTTGCACTGATATTCAAGATCCTCTCAACAGCTTGTTGTAGAAGGAAAAAGTATGTTTTGTTGGGTCTCCGATTACAAAACGGATTTTAGGAATGTTTTCATAACTATTCCTAGAATTGTGATTATCATATTAATTATGATTGTTAAACAAAGTACGGAAGGAAAGGGCTAATTAGAAATGTGCCTTATCAGTATAAAGTCACTCGACATTCGATATCACTTGATATTTTTTTGTCGATATATTTTAAGATCTTTTATAAGTCAACAAACAAAGCTAGACACCCAAAGAGAGTAAATGGCTGTGTAAACTTGTGACTGATGCTTCTAATATTGCCTCCGAACACAGGTTTACATTTCCACATGGGGAGGTAACATGATTTAAACTGCTGCACAGAGCAGGGAGTATATAAGAAGTTAAACATTTTATCAAAAACACGTGGTGCTAATCATATAAATCTTTAAAAGTTTTGCTATTAGATCATGATATGGGTTTGAGTAATTTAAACGATGATATCAATGTTTACGATTCTTACAAAAATTGTGAGGTATCCGTCAGGGAAAGGTGTTTCTCTCGTAGAAAACCAGTGACAAATACATAAAGACATCATTATGGCCATAGTGGTAAGACATCAATGTCTTATTTATTTTGACTTTTACATGAGATTTTAGACACGATATATTGAGAATTCAAAATAAAATATTGAGAATTCAAAATAAGATATAATGACTATGTCCAGCATTTGTGATATTTCACGAAATGCCTATTATACTCATGCAGATAATATTTGAGTATTTTAGCTCCTGGGGTCCTTGTATATTGGCACCATATGAGTGGTTAACATCAAAGAGTTCTTCAGAATCTTAGAGGCTACAATTACTACAGATTTGCTTGATGTTCTAAACTCATTCTTTTCCAACGTTTGTCTCATGTGTCTATCTCCCCTAGAATATCACAAAACTATACCGTGCACATAAACAGTGAACGTTGATATTGTTTAGTTTAAAATACCCAAATATACAAGAATGAGTACAAGCATACAGTATATGTCACATCCCTGGTCATGATCGTGATAGATAGAATTTGAACTCCAGAAATCAGAAAAAGATCAGATGAGACAAAAACACAACATTGCAGCTACAAGAGGTACATCAACATCGATATCTTTTAGCAATCAATTCTGAAACCCCTGAAAATGATTGGTTAATACCCATCACATGACCTCCACTTCTTCTATGAAAAATGATTTTTCTAATTCTCTCAGTCCCTCTCTATAAAAGACAAAAGACAGTTGTTCACAGTTCGGAGTTTTAACAGAACTACAAAAAATTGTCATTGAATTTATGTGAATGATTAGTAAAAAATCTGGTTAACATTTTGGATTTTCAAGCAAACATATAGAGCCACCAAAAACACATTGTTCTTCAGTAATTCAAGGGCATTGGCTTCTCATTCTAACTTAACCGTTTCCATGTTTTTTTATGAAGCAATAACAATGCGTTACACATTGAAATGATCTTATTTAAAAAACAAGTTTATCTTTCACAATTAATTCAATCCATCTATTCTAAAAGTGCTCGTAAAAGTAACAATTTGCCAAATACAATATTTCAGGAAAGATCTTAAGTCCAAAAACAATATATAAAGAGAGATTTAAATAAACTTTCTGATAGAGTCAGTGTGTAAAATACTTGGAAAGTTTTGACCACTTAGGTGTTGTGTTAAGAATCAATTTACAGGCCTAAGTGCAAAATGAAACAAGATCCATGTTAATTTGGTGGGCTATAAGACCATTGATTTATTTTCAAGTACTTGATCCAGATAAAATTTTACAAATCTAGTATTTTAAGCTCGAGGTGCTATATGGGGATTTCCTAAAAATACCTCAAACCGCGAAGTTATTTAGTTTTATGTACCTTGGAAATTCCTTATGTGACATTAGATTTCATCAATTGATCATGAACTGGGAAATTATTTGAATTATTGGAATATTTTGCACTGGCCACCTTATATTATACCCAAATCATCTTATCTTTGGACTGAGAGAATGGGAATAGAAGGAGGTGTAATGGAGATTGCTGCACAATGATAATGCCATATTATAAGTAATTTTCCAGGGGTCCAGGTTTCTTATAATTTGAACTTTAATGTGGTGTAAGTGGTGTACTGTGCTGTACTGTACTGTACTGTACTGTACTGTACTGTACTGTACTGTACTGTACTGTACTGTATTGTACTGTACTGTACTGCACTGTACTGCACTGCGTTGTACTGTATTTTGCTGATTTGAATTGTATTGGTGGTGTACTGTTCTGTAGATTTATTATAATGTGTACTGTATTGGTAGTGTACTGTACTGTACTGTTCTGTACCGTACTGTATTGTACTGTATAATACAAAAAAATCTACACATACCATATATGGTCAACATGTGTCCGTAGTTGCTGTCTTACATTATGTGCCTTATCAGTAAAAGATTTATCACATTTCAGACATTTCAAATGTAAAAAATGAACATAAAACAGATTTGTTGTACATTAATAATAATGTAGACTTAAGATCCTGATAAGGGTTTACCACAACATTGCTTAGTGTGACCATAAAGCAAACACAGTTTTAACATGTATTGTAAGAATTTTTAACATGTACTGTTTGAATGAATATTTTACAATTTCTAAAATTGGTGAAAGCAATGTTTACTGTACAATATAATTAGCATAATATGTTAAGAAAACTCCAGGAAACAATAAGAGGTTAGCAATGAAATGTGAGCGCAGATTTCAGACATCAAAAATAACTAGGAGTATAGTAAATATTGAGGAGTATAGTTGTATATTTATGATACAGCAATCTTACTGTCACATTTCTCATTCTGTGATTAGTTCGACAAAAGCCACATGCCAGAAAATATCCATAATAAAACAAATATTTCATTCTATGTTTTTATCATTTGAGCTTCGGGAATATAATTTGTGGGTGACACACAAGTATTCTCCTGAATAGGATGAAGTATTTGTATAATAGTGCAAAATCATAGGTTAGAAGAAATGGAATGAGGTACAAAACTGCTTAATGACAATCAAATTGTGAAACAATCAGTTATTACCCATTGCATTTGTGAATAAACTCCTTAAAAGAGAGATTCGTCAAGACTGGGGTTCAGGGTAGTCAGCTGTGTATAAAATGAACAAAAATAGGTATTCTTGGCTTTTTACTTATTGTACAGATCAGAGAAGGTGCATGTTACTGGGATATGTGAAACTGTTGAATGAATCATTATGAATCATGTTAACCCATCTCAAATTTACAGAATCAAAGATGTAAGCTTATACTGTAAAACATGTACAATATACTTGAGGTACTGTATCCACGTTTATTATTCAAAAAATAGTTCAATTCATAAACTGTTTTACAAATCCATTATGTGTAACACACTGCTTTTATGTCAGTGCTACGATAGATCATTTCAAGATAATTAAGGAAAATGAAAAGTACTTGTTTTACAGTATCGAGCAAATACTGATATCAACTGAATATTGTAAATTCAGTTAAAGGAAAATAAATTGATACTGTAAATCTACCTAGTTCTGTGAACTGATGAAGAATCATTGTACAATTAAAATGGCACAATTTCGAGTAAGTTGGCAATTTTATGAATATTGCTTGTTCTGTACATATTTAATGAGCATGTCCTGCATTTACAATTAATTTATACAGATAATTTTACAAGACGATTGTATAGATTTTATATGATAATAAAATATTTTGATACTTAATTGTTTTGTAGTTTTATTCGATCGCCTTTCACATAAGTGTCAAACTTAGTTTGGAAAATCAAAATTGGCAAAATTTAGATCTCTGAAAAATGGGAGCCTACCTGTTTACAGGCTTATACATGTTATAGGTTATGTTCTGATACATGTAAATGTGTAAATATTTAGCAAGCTCTCCGGTAGTGATCACTTCAGGCAGGTTTTACTGTATGATTTAAGAGAAGTAAAGTAACAGAATAAGATGGTGCATATCTATTGTTTAGACATTGAATACCATAAAACAAGATGAGTCACTCTCAGACAACACTAAGAAACACCCATGTTTTGAATTTGCTAATTATGAAATCACAAAAATCCCTTTAAAATGTTTTGAATTTGCTAATTATGAAATCACAAAAATCCCTTTAAAATGTTTTGAATTTGCTAATTATGAAATCACAAAAATCCCTTTAAAATGTTTTGAATTTGCTAATTTTAGATCACAAAATCCCTTTAAAATGTCTTGAATTTGCTAATTATGAAATCACAAAAAAACTTTAAAATGATGTTTGACTGAGATTAATCTCTTTCTATGTCATAACAATGAAATGATCTCACTTAGGAATTTACACGCTAATCCTGTAAATGTCTCCACATCAATTCCTTCAACACTTAAACACACAAAGGAGGATTTATTCACTTTAAACAAAATCTGGCTGTTAAACATTCATTCTTCATTCTAAAAACACCTAAAAAATGTACCTTAAAATAGTCGCCTTATATAAAATTCACCCAGAATGCCCAAAATCTAATCGGCTCTTGGCTTTCATATCAAGTATATATCAAATTAATCCATCAAGCAATTTATCTAGAAATGTGCAGTTAAGAAAGGTGAGACACTTCCATCAAGTTGATTACAATATCATACCTCAGGTATGATAAAAATATCAAAGAAAATTTTTAAACAAATAGAAGTATATTTCAGTAATAAAATTTTCATGCAGCACTAATGCAGCGCATAAAACCATAAAATAATCTTTTATTATTAGAATTCGATAAAAATTTAGAATTTGATACAAAATTTAAAATTCAAAACAGAGCTAAAATGAGATTGGCAAGAAACATACATAATACTACACATACTTTTCAGAACTTCACTGCAAAAGGCATTACTAAAATATTTTTTATTTTTGTCAATCTATAAAAAAATTTAAAAACTGCCTTGTTAAAATAACAGATAGGTCATTCATTAAAAAACATTCCTGAAACCACAATTTTACCACAGAGTACACAAAGATGAATGCGCTTATCAAAAGCAGATATCATTAAACAGTTAAAGAATAAAGTAAAGAAAGGGGATCAACATACATGACATCTATTTTACTAATCTAGCACCATTTACTACCAAGTACAAGACCTGTTATATTCAGTCATAATATATACATTTGATATCATGAGAACCCCATCTATATGTCTATATCCTAAAACATTTATTTGTTTTTCATGGTATCTTATTAAAGGTTCAGCTTATGCTGCCTTAGCTTGCGTTATATTCTACTGAATGTACATGTAGTTATAATGTAAGATAACATACATCACTAAACTCTTCTTCATACATTTAGAGCTCTCCTTCATACATTTAGTGCTCTTCTTTATACATTTAGAGCTCTTCATCATACATTTAGAGCTCTTCATCATACATTTAGAGCTCTTCTTCGTATAACAAGAGTCATCCCTGCCTCATATAATTAGGCCGATATATCTGTACCTCACATATTCCATATTGTCAAATCATGGTATCATTAGGCATATGAGTAGCACATGGTGTGGTGGGTTAAGTGAGTGTCTATAATCTCTTATATACATACTACCATACCCATGATTTGTATTACCATAGAGCATTGAAAAATCCAAACATTGTCACTTCAAGTTGCATCTGTGTAATCATGTTGGAACTTAGGATGTGCATCATATGGCATCCTCCTGCCATTAATAAGGCACTGAATGATCCATTCAGAAGACACTATAGGGATCTCCCTGTCCTTGGCCTTCTTTAGGGCACTTGCGGGGCAGCTCTCGTCAGCTACAACCACGTCAAACTGTGCAGTACCATCTGAACACAATATAAAGGATTACATGAATTATATGGATTATATGACATATAATAAGTGGTTTAAAGGAAGATTAAGAGATACAGAAAGGGGGGGAGACATGCAAAGCAACATTTTCAACTGACCTTTCGATATTTCCTTTACCATCTCAAATACATAGTCTACCAAGAAATCTGTGGTGATTTTTCAAATTGTGATATTATTTAAGAGTCAAATAATTTTAAGAAAGTTGGATTTCATTAACTGCAAAAACCAACCACCAACACACTTTAGTTAATGAAACATTTGGCAGTGTCAACCTACCTGGGGTGGAACTGCCAGAACTGGGAAGTTTCTGAACCAAATAAGCCCCTGAAGTGACGAGTATAGGGGCCCAGCTCTCTTTGAACAATTGATTGTTGGATGCTAACTTGATTTGCATACCAGTCAGGTCAGAATTGCCCCTCTCACTCCTTTAATACAAAAATATTCATTTATAGTAGGTACATGGAATACAGAGTGTCCATAAAGTCTCTTTACAGTCAAAATACAACGTTTATGTAAGAAATTTTTAAAGACACCCTGTGTATATTATTTTGTACTTTTTGTATCACTGCTTTGAGTTTTTATTTCTCATATATCATTTTGTGGAACACAATTATATGTGTACAATATATAACCTGCCAAGACAATACTACTTTTTTGATGATTCTCCCTACAAAACATACACATTATTAAACAAGTTGTATCAACGTATTCCTTGAAAATAAATCAATGTTGAGATATGCCATGATACTTATACACGTACACTACTTACCATTCAATAATTCTGTTATTTTCAAGGCTTACACCAGCAGGGAGCATGTATGATTTGAAGTCTTGGCGTTTTTTCTGAAATAAATCCACATTTAATGAATACTCAGACTTGATATTTACTCCTTCGTAACAATCATAACAAGTTTGCCTTTTTTGAAATGCCCAGTAGTTTGTTAAAACAAATCTTAGTTGAGACTAGTGTACATATATATAATATAGATAACATGTATATGATTTCAAGAAGTCTTGCATCAAATCTCTGGATCCCCTCAAACTACATCACCTAAACAGGTGAGTTGTTTACTTTAGATGGGGGGTCACAATGAAAGACTAAATTTCAAACATCCTAAGATTATCATTTAAATTATCTAGCAAATATTCATATGAATTCACTGACTGAATACCTATACTGAACAAGACACACAGTGATAAATATCGCACTTTGAAGAGCAAACTGGCCACCATGCAATTAACCCAGCATGGCCAAAACCTAATCAGACCTTGGCACTAGTCTGCTCTTGCATCTGTAAACATTTCAAGTTGACAAGGTAAGCGGTTTTCCTGCAATTTTGATGACAAGAATTTATTTGTAGTCTTGAACTTTGGGAAAATTTAGATAACATTGTTTGTGACCTAATTTGATGACCTTCGACCTTGAAAATTTCACTTTTTCAGACCTCAGTAGGTGTTTTGTAATTAAGCTGACCTAAATTTAAATCCAAAATATCAATTTAGAAAATCAAATTTTTGACCTTTTCAAGGTCACTGAAGGTCAACGAAAGGTCAAATCTGAAATCTAAGGTCAGATTTGAACTTCTGAGAACTTGTAGATGTTTTAAAAAAAAAATTTGGTCAATTTGGAGCAAGTTGAAAAATTCAAAATGGCCGCCAAATTGAAAAATTCAAAATGGCCACCATGTAATTCAGCCAGCATGCCCAAAACCTAATCAGATCTTGGCAATAGTCTGCTCTTGCATCTGTAAAAATTTCAAGTTGAACGGATAAGTGGCTTTCCTGGAATTTTGATGACAAGATTTGTTGAAAAATTCAAAATGGCCGCCACGTAGTTTACCCAGCATGCCCTAAACCTAATCAGATCTTGGCACTAGTCTGCTATTGCATGTGTAAAAACTTCAAGTTGAACAGGTTAGCGGTTTTCTTGGAATTTTGATTTGTAGTCTCAAACTTTGAGAAACTTGGATAACATCATTTGTGACCTAGTTTAATGACCTTGACCTTCGACTTTGAAAATTTAACTTTTTCAGACCTCAGTAGGTGTTTTGTAATTAAGCTGACCTAAATTTAAATCCAAAATATCAATTTAGAAAATCAACTTTTTTTGACCTTTTCAAGGTCACTGAAGGTCAATGAAAGGTCAAATCTAAAATCTAAGGTCAGATTCGAACTTCTGAGAACTTGTAGATGTTTTTTAAAAAAAAATTGGGTCAATTTGGAGCAAGTTGAAAAATTCAAAATGGCCGCCAAATTGAAAAATTCAAAATGGCCACCATGTAATTCAGCCAGCATACCCAAAACCTAATCAGATCTTGGCAATAGTCTGCTCTTGCATCTGTAAAGATTTCAAGTTGAACGGATAAGCGGTTTTCCTGGAATTTTGATGACAAGATTTGTTGAAAAATTCAAAATGGCCGCCACGTAGTTTACCCAGCATGCCCTTAACCTAATCAGATCTTGGTACTAGTCTGCTCTTGCATCTGTAAAAATTTCAAGTTGAACAGGTAAGCAGTTATCCTGGAAATTTGATGACAAGATTTGGTTTATGTCCCGCCCGCCCGCCCGCACGACCGCACGCCCGCCCGCCCGCCCAACAGCACAAGACGACAACAATATAGCACTTTTTCAAAGTGCGATAAAAAGAGGCTATACCATAATGCAACAGTCTCTGATCCAGACGTGAGAGACACAAGGGATGCCTGCAGCTAAACAATGAAGGAACTTCATGGTCCGCTGGTACATATCAGATATCAGATAACAATTTCCTTTCTGCAACTGAAAACACAAGTGAATGTTAAATAGTTAGAGGTTATGTCACTATCGTTTTGATATTGATCTCTGAGAACTGAGGGCATATGTGCCATGATAGTGACATACCTATGATGATGTAGACTGGTCAGAGAGTACCATTTTCTTATAGAATTGACAAACAAATGCTTTGAAAATGATTGAAATGAGTTTAGAAAATTGCTCGCGCAGGTTTATCTCGATTGATTGGTTATGACGTCAGCGCCTTGACCAATCAGAAAGTTAGCGGGCGCGGGCTTTTCAAAACTTATATTGGCCTGCTGTCTTGTGTACACTTTGCACTATACATCATCATAGGTATGTTATAATATGCTTTATGTAATCTAAACTGATCTAAACAATTTATAAGGTAATCTGATGACAAAGCATAGGTTCTAGGGCAATACAATTTACAATTTACAAACTAATAGTATTTGACTTTTCTATTTTTCCAGACATTGTTACTGGACTATCTTGTTACCTTTGATATGTTGAATTTATGTAGTACAGTTCCCCCTCCTGCCTGGATCTGCTTTGTGAGATGTTCCTTGTCAAATGGTGGCTGATCTGTCTCTTCTGGAATTCACAGTAAACATGATAGTTAGAAATAATCTTGATTTACATCATTAAATATTCAAAATTCAGTAAAAGTGATGTCATATTTGAAATCTACATGTAAAAGTAAGCTAGAAATATGGTTTCGAAAATTGTTTATCAACTTAAAAATATTTTTGAAATGTGACTTCTAGTTCAGGTTGATTCCTCATAGACCCTATGTTACAAAACCACAAAAAGTGAAATATCTTTTCTTGTATTGGACAGATAACATTTTATTTTACTGGGAATATTTTAATTTGCATAACTATTTAATACATAAGGGTTATATGAAAACTGAACCACTAAAACAGATGTAATTTAAGTAAAAGGGAACTTTCTATTTATTATACCCGCCATGCTGTCTGACCCGAACAAGCCACTTGGTGGTGAAACTGGTAACTACTTACTCGCATCTGCGTTATTAGAACAGCTATGTAGATGTTGAGAACAAAATAAATTGGTACAATAAACACTGCCACCTTTTGCTACATGTATATCAAGGAAGCTGGGTATTTGGGAAAATTAATCATATAATAGGTTGTAGGTAGCGATGTTAATAAACAAGTTTCTCAGGAATTTTTTTTCAAAATAATTTTATTTTGAATCTTTGCTATCAATAACCTATTACATCATGAATCTAGCCGATATATCATGTTTCTTATTGTAGTAGACAGATCCTATTAATAGAAAGGTCTACTTAGTCTAGATAAAAATATCTTAATTTTTGATTTCTTGCAAAATTAAAATTTAAGTTTTCAAAATCAACGCAACTTTCAAGCAGGGGTGAGAGAAGTGAGATCTGCAATTTCTATATAACAATATTATGTCATATGGTGGCCTTGATCACATTTCCGCCAGACTACGGTTGATATCATCAATTGATTATGATGTCAGTTTTGTTGTTGTAGTAACCAAGACCAATGGCTACATATTTAAATAATCATATCCTTTGTGGTAAATATAGATTTGTTTATTTCATATATATGTTGATAGTATTAATTATTCAAATGTTTATTTACTCAATGGATTTCATAATGAAACCTGGCAGATTAGACACAATAAATCCAGACTTCATCGATGATGCACCTCGCATACAAGCTGTTCGTTTTGGCTTCTCTATTGTCACGGGGTAAGAAAACTTATCAAAATACTAGTATATTATATTATCCTACACTTAGTGTATTAAATGTATAATAACATCAAAAAATAAATTTGATATTTATTGGCAAAATGAATAACCGGAGGATATCGTGATGATATACTCCGGGCGGAGGATATCGTGACGATATACTCCGGAAAACCCAATATGCGGAGGATATTGTGACGATATACTCCGCCTGTTGATTTCCCGCCAAATTGACTCTATTTGGCATGAAAGTCATTTTGCAATGATATTAATTATACATTTAGTACACTCCTTGAAAGTGTAGGATAATAAGAACATCCTATGATTTTTTCAGAATATCATTTGTGATATTGATATATGCCCTCGTTCGCTTTGCTCTCTCGTGCAGATATCAATATCACCTCGTAGATAAAAATGATATTCCTCAAAATCATAGGATATCCTATAAATATTAATAGTTATGATTGTATATTTTTAATTTTATATCAAATTCTTATTCAAAAACAGTCACTTATAAGGGATGAATTTAAATCATTCAAATAGCAAACACCTAAATATCTCAATCTTACTTATCATATGACGACACAAAAGATTTAGTTTTTATTAAGTTTTACAAGTTAAAGTTTTGGAACAACAATGTGAATTTTCATCCAAAGGACTTTTTGCCACTTGAAAATTCATTGAATAATCTTTGTTATAATGCTTTTCATAATAATGGTTTTCCGTATAATGGATTTCAGTATAATGCTTTTCTTGCTGCTCTTGCATTAATTTCATCAAATGATGTTTCACAGTTCCAATTGCAAGTAGATTCTGCTCTGGTGTGCCTCCTTATGACTACCCTTTGCTGCTCTTGCATTAATTTCATCAAATGATGTTTCACAGTTCCAATTGCAAGTGGATTCTGCTCTGGTGTGCCTACTTATGACTACCCTTTGCTCCTCTTGCATTAATTTTATCCAATAATGTTTGACAGTTCCAGGTGCAAGTGGATTCCACTCTGGGTGCCTACTTATGACTACCCTTTGCTGCTCTTGCATTAATTTTATCCAATAATGTTTGACAGTTCCAGTTGCAAGTGGATTCCACTCTGGTGTGCCTACTTATGACTACCCTTTGCTGCTCTTGCATTAATTTTATCCAATAATGTTTGACAGTTTCAGTTGCAAGTGGATTCCATTCTGGTGTGCCTACTTATGACTACCCTTTGCTGCTCTTGCATTAATTTTATCCAATAATATTTGACAGTTCCAGTTGCAAGTGGATTCCACTCTGGTGTGCCTACTTATGACTACCCTTTGCTGCTCTTGCATTAATTTCATCCAATAATGTTTGACAGATCCAGTTGCAAGTGGATTTCATTCTGGTGTGCCTACTTATGACTACCCTTTGCTGCTCTTGCATTAATTTCATCCAATAATATTTGACAGATCCAGTTGCAAGTGGATTCCGCTCTGGGTGCCTACTTATGACTACCCTTTGCTGCTCTTGCATTAATTTTATCAAATAATGTTTCACAGTTCCAATTGCAAGTGGATTCCACTCTGGTGTGCCTACTTATGACTACCCTTTGCTGCACTTGGATTAATTTTATACAATAATGTTTGACAGTTCCAGTTGCAAGTGGATTCCGCTCTGGTGTGCCTACTTATGACTACCCTTTGCTGCTCTTGCATTAATTTCATCAAATAATGTTTCACAGTTCCAATTGCAAGTGGATTCCGCTCTGGGTGCCTACTTATGACTACCCTTTGCTGCTCTTGCATTAATTTCATCAAATAATGTTTCACAGTTCCAATTGCAAGTGGATTCCACTCTGGTGTGCCAACTTATGACTACCCTTTGCTGCTCTTGCATTTATTTTATCAAAACATGTTTGTTAGTTCCAGGTGCAAGTGGATTCCACTCTGGGTGCCTACTTATAACTACCCTTTGCTGCTCTTGCATTGATTTTATCAAAACATGTTTGTTAGTTCCAGGTGCAAGTGGATTCTGCTCTGGTGTGCCTACTTATGACTACCCTTTGCTGCTCTTGCATTAATTTCATCAAATAATGTTTCACAGTTCAAATTGCAAGTGGATTCCGCTCTGGGTGCCTACTTATGACTACCCTTTGCTGCTCTTGCATTAATTTTATCAAAACATGTTTGTTAGTTCCAGGTGCAAGTGGATTCCGCTCTGGGTGCCTACTTATGACTACCCTTTGCTGCTCTTGCATTAATTTTATCAAAACATGTTTGACAGTTCCAGTTGCAAGTGGATTCTGCTCTGGTGTGCCTACTTATGACTACCCTTTGCTGCTCTTGCATTAATTTTATCAAAACATGTTTGTTAGTTCCAGGTGCAAGTGGATTCCACTCTGGGTGCCTACTTATGACTACCCTTTGCTGCTCTTGCATTGATTTTATCCAATAATGTTTGACAGTTCCAGGTGCAAGTGGATTCCACTCTGGTGTGCCTACTTATGACTACCCTTTGCTGCTCTTGCATTGATTTTATCCAATAATATTTGACAGTTCCAGTTGCAAGTGGATTCCACTCTGGTGTGCCTACTTATGACTACCCTTTGCTGCTCTTGCATTAATTTTATCCAATAATGTTTGACAGTTTCAGTTGCAAGTGGATTCCATTCTGGTGTGCCTACTTATGACTACCCTTTGCTGCTCTTGCATTAATTTTATCCAATAATGTTTGACAGTTCCAGTTGCAAGTGGATTCCACTCTGGTGTGCCTACTTATGACTACCCTTTGCTGCTCTTGCATTAATTTTATCCAATAATATTTGACAGTTCCAGTTGCAAGTGGATTCCACTCTGGTGTGCCTACTTATGACTACCCTTTGCTGCTCTTGCATTAATTTCATCCAATAATGTTTGACAGATCCAGTTGCAAGTGGATTTCATTCTGGTGTGCCTACTTATGACTACCCTTTGCTGCTCTTGCACTAATTTCATCCAATAATGTTTGACAGATCCAGTTGCAAGTGGATTTCATTCTGGTGTGCCTACTTATGACTACCCTTTGCTGCTCTTGCATTAATTTCATCCAATAATGTTTGTTAGTTCCAGGTGCAAGTGGATTCCGCTCTGGTGTACCTACTTATGACTACCCTTTGCTGCTCTTGCATTAATTTCATCCAATAATGTTTGACAGTCCCAGTTGCAAGTGGATTCTGCTATGGTGTGCCCACTTATGACTACCCTTTGCTGCTCTTGCATTAATTTCATCCAATAATGTTTGTCAGTTCCAGTTGCAAGTGGATTCCACTCTGGTGTGCCTACTTATGACTACCCTTTGCTGCTCTTGCATTAATTTTATCCAACAATGTTTGACAGTCCCAGTTGCAAGTGGATTCTGCTATGGTGTGCCTACTTATGACTACTCTTTGCTGCTCTTGCATTAATTTCATCCAATAATGTTTGTCAGTTCCAGTTGCAAGTGGATTCCGCTCTGGTGTGCCCACTTATGACTACCCTTTGCTGCTCTTGCATTAATTTTATCAAATAATGTTTCACAGTTCCAATTGCAAGTGGATTCCGCTATGGTGTGCCCACTTATGACTACCCTTTGCTGCTCTTGCATTAATTTTATCAAATAATGTTTGTCAGTTTCAGTTGCAAGTGGATTCCGCTCTGGTGTGCCTACTTATGACTACCCTTTGCTGCTCTTGCATTAATTTTATACAATAATGTTTGACAGTTCCAATTGCAAGTGGATTCCGCTCTGGGTGCCCACTTATGACTACCCTTTGCTGCTCTTGCATTAATTTTATCAAATAATGTTTCACAGTTCCAATTGCAAGTGGATTCCGCTCTGGGTGCCTACTTATGACTACCCTTTGCTGCTCTTGCAT